ACACACACACACACACACACACATTAAACATACTGTTTTAAAACGCTTTTGTCAGCGCCGAGCTTTCGCGCGACCGATTTTCAGCTACAACGCGCGCTATCGCTTTTACTGTACGCAAAATGAAAGGCGCGGCTTTAATTACCAACGCTGTCACACCAAAAGCGTTAATATACGTCAACGTTTTCGTCGTAGATATTATCATCGCTTTTGCCGTAGCTGTGATATATCTTTGCCACCGTGTAGAAGTGTGCTGCAAAATTCTACAGAGTGTGCAAGGAAGAGAGAGTGTACTCTCCGTTCAAGGAAGAAGAGGGAGGTTGGCAAAGAGAGAGAGAGGGGGGGAGGGAGAAAGAGAAAGAGAGAGAGAGGCCGAGAGAGCAATACGGCTAGAGAGTGGGAAAATGAAAGAGAGCAAGTGAACGAGAGTGAGAGAGAGAGAGAGAAAGAATGACAGTAGGCTCGTTCGCCACACCAGTCAGTGTTTCCCGAACTGCTGTCAGTGACAGTTCCTCGATCATGCGGCGGCGGATCCTCGATCATTGATCCGTATCAAGAATCGAGATATTTTTTTTTCTCTCTCTCCGATCTGCCGGTAATTTTTTATTCGCGTTGTTGAGTTTCCTTTCCGTTCGTACTGTTTTCCCATTGAGACGCTGCCAGGAGGATCCTTCGTTGGTTCTCTGCTCTCGCGCGGTGCTACGAATCACGCGGGGCGTTGTTGTTGTTGTTGTTGTTTTGAGTAATTGGAGCAATTATGGTGAGTACAATTTTATTACACATTTGCCGTTAATCGAGCGCTGTATTGAAATATATTTTCATCGGCATTTTTACATAATGTAATCCGAAAACGAAACGACTTGAGAAGTATTAAATTGTTCCGCATTTTTGTTCATAATTCGCACATCGTGAGCAGAAAATTGCTGTTCGTAATCGACAAAAGAATCTATTAAATTTAACAATTTAATTATAACACAATTATTTAATCATGTAATTAGGCCAATTGTGTCAAATTTTAATTTTTTTTTTAGTTGATTAGAGACAGCAATTATCTAAATCCTATTTACCCTCTCTGATTCGCGCGCATTAGGTAAGAGACAATTCCTTGGCTGGCAATCTATCTCGATCGCCCGAGATCTGTCGGAGATCCTCGACGGAGAAAGAAAGAGAGATCGCCCGAAACGATTTGCTCCAATTTCGCGATTACCGCGAATTCAGTGGAGAGAGAGAGAGAGAGACCATCGAAATCGTTCTCTCGCGCGGCGAAGAGATATTCCGCGTGTCCGACGTGTTTTTCTTTTCCACGCAGCTCCGTTTCCAAGCCGTCCGATCTTTTCGCGCGACGGAGCTATATTACATCACGCGTGTGAATTTATGCGAGACCACCGTGGAACCGGTCCAGAAAAAAGTTCGTTACGAGTGTAAAATTAAAGACGGACGCGAGAGTTGGCCAGTATCATTTACCGCCGAGCGTCGATTTGGTGGATCAGTTGCGCGATTCGTCACGGGATACATTGCAATCACCGACGATACTTTTGCCGACAAATCTAAATGAATCTGAAAACGACGAATTTGAAATCGGTAAATGTTTGTGTCGTTGAATACGTTGCGCACTGTTAATCTGTCAAATTCGTTACGGATATCCGAGTGGTAATTATTATAATCATCATTGATTGGAAACAGCCGACTTATCGAGCATATCACGCGGCGATAAACATCGAGTATCTACTTAGACTTTCAAGCGCGTTGCGACATTCGCGTAAAAATCCGCTTGAGCTATAGTAATGATATAATATTAGATACAGTAATGATTCTGCGACAGGTATCTGCGCGTCCGCATTACACACATATAAACACACACACAGTCAGGACTTTCGGTATAGAGACCCGAGAACTTGTTCTGTCCTTCCGGGTTATACCTGCGAGTCCTCTCACTTTCGTCGTGCGACGACCTCGACTTATTATTTTTTTTTTTGGTGTAACAATATAAATCCTTGCCGGACAGCGGCATCGAAATCACCGAATGATCGCGTGACGTCTTCGTCGCGTGTGGGCGGACCTCTTCGTTATGGGATATATGGGAACGAGCAAGTAAAAAGTGGACGTATCTCGTCGCAACCTTCGTTACGTCGTGCAGAATGCACCTGTTCGCGCGTCGCAAAAACGCAAATCTGCGAGGATTGTAATTGAGTCGCTCTCGGGGAACTTTTTCACTTTTCACTTTTCATCGCTCTCGATCTCAAGTCATTGTGCAATTAAATTCCCTTTCATTGCTCCGAGTTAAATGACTTACGTGATTACGGCATAAATATTGAGATATATACGTAACAACTTAAAAAAAGAAAAATTCTTCTTTAATTGCTTTGTACTCAAATGAGCTATGTTGCAATAATGCAATGTCAATATTAAATTCTTTAAATGTCAAGCCGACTGTTCCATTAAGACGCTAAATCATCGCTTCGCGATCATTACAGATCTATCGCACACATTGCAACTTTCTATCTCATCCTGCCACGCCCCGAAGTATTGAATTAAACGTCCTATACATAGCATATGATGCTGACGATAATTGAAACTGCTGCAGCAGCTTCAAGCATTTTTCCCCCCCCAGAAAGCTATTAACGTTTTATTTACAAGGTTGTGACAGAATATCTGTCAAGACCCGATCGTTTTTT